TCTGGGTTTTGGGATTGGGGTCGAAGGAGGGACTATGAAATCGGCCATTACAAGGAGTGTGTGAAATGTTGGTCGATTGGGTTCGCGGAATCTGGAGGGGAAGGAGAAGTTGGACAGATGAAGCTGTGGCGACAATGTGTATGTTACGCTGTGAAGTGATATTCAATGTTGGGTACGGACTCCTGGGCCTTTGAAATTGCACTGTGACCGAGTTAGTATCCTTGAGAGGTGTCATCTTGTTATGATGCAGATCAGTTAAGGTGAATGCATTGAGACCCCATACGTGTGATAGTCCCCGATACCTGATACCTGATAAATCTACCCGTTCCTCCTGAAACTACACCCATCACGCCAACTCCATCGCTATGATACCCATATCAACACCTACAAGCCATAGATGCGAATGTACGAAAACCGCGAACACCCTAGTATGCGAGTATGTACCGTATCCTCAAACGCCTTCAAAGATCGCGTCAAGAACGGATACCTCGATCAAGAAACCTGTCAAATGTTAGAACCTGTCCGGTTCATTCTTCAAAGCCGACCCTATTCAAGAGGGAGTGCCTGCTCTGCGCGAGCATCAATGGGGGTTGGAGTGCAGTTACCTCAGCAATGTTCTGGCGCTCGATATAGCTCTCCTGCTTCACATCTCTACCGACGCGCCAGTACGAGTCGGTGTAGTCCGCGCAGTTCATCTCGCGGAGAAACTGCTCGTCGTGCGTGATGACCAGCAGCTGGAAGTTGGCTTGCTTCCTGCGGCTCTGGATGATCTGAGACAGTGACTCGGCGAGACCCTTGATGTTCTGCTGATCCAGGTTGGTGGTGGGTTCGTCGAGCGCGATGAGACCGCAGTTTGTGCCGAAACATTCTGCGAGCGCGAGACGGATGACGATTGAAGCGAGGACCTTTTGGCCTGCGGAACAGCGGCCTCGCATGTCCATCTCGGTGTCTTGCTTTACCATCACAACGCGGTAGTTGTATGTCCGATTACCTTTGCCATCGCCGTCGGATACGATGCGGATCGCGTCCACGTCCGTACCTTGGTACGCGTTGCGCCACAGCTCAGCGAGAATAGTGTTGATCTCCTCCATCTTGAGCGTGTGATACTTCATAATGGCTTTATCAAGAGCGCCAGCATAGCGCCCCAGGTCGTCGATGGCGGCTTTGGTAGTTTCGACCTTGATATGCGCCTCGCGGTATTGCTCCGCAGCCTTCTTGTAGATTTTCTCATACTCCGTCATGAGATCGGTCAGCTGGTCATCCTTGTTCTTCATGTCACGCTCCAGAGTTGCCTTCCTGAGATTGAGATCTCGTACTCGAAGATCCCAGTGTTCAGCTTGCTGCTCGTAGTGTGCCTTGTCACGCTCAGCACCGAGCTCTTCTAGGTTTCGGATCTCGACTTCTAGGCTGTCGAGGGAGCGCTTGGCTTTCCGATAGCGCAAGTTTTCACTGATGGAGCGCTTGTTCGTTTCCGTGTCGCGCACCGTGTCTTCAAGCTTTTTGATCTTACGAGTCAAATCGGACATGTCAGTTTCGATACGTGCGACCTCGCCTTGGAGATTCTCAATCTCTCGATGGGTGCGTGCGAGCTGCTGTGGTCCACCACGACTAATATAAGCATCGATTTCCTCGTTCGCCTGGTTGAGCTGGCGCACAGTGTCGAATAGCCTAGCAGCTTCATCGTGAGCGCGTTGAACGCGATCGTTGCCACGGCGGTTGATGTCGTCGTACTTGTACTGCGCTTGCTCGATTTCGGGGTCGATGTTACTGATGTCCTGGTCGAAGCTGCGTAGGGCTTCACGTTGCTTGTTATTCTCCTGCTTGAGGTCTTCTACTCGATCGGCCAGATCCCGCTTCTCCTTCAGCTTTGACTGGGCACTGCTCAGGTCCGCGTTGATGTCACGTACGCTCAGCTCAAGAGTCGTGATCTGGTTACGTGACTTGTCCCTGGCAGCCGTAAGCTGCTCGAGCATTGTCCTAGCGGTGCGGCTATCATCAGACACACGTTGCAGATCGGTCTGAATTGCGTCGATGCCCCGAGAGAGCCCTGCAGACTTTTGTTTCCGTGTTAACTCTTTAATTTCTGCCTCAAGCTCCTGCGCTCTGCTGTAGTAGGCAACAATGGTCTGTACCTCCTTTGAAAACGACTCAACTTCTTGCTTCGCAGCCTCCAGATCGTAGATGACAGCATCCTGGTATTCGAGCTGTTTGTTGAGAGTGTCGCGCTCAGCAGTCAGCTTGGTGAGGTTGGCCTGGAGTGCGGGAAGTTCGGTGTCGCGCAGGCGAGTCGCTAGTTCATAGCTAGGTTTGGCCTTGCGAGCAGTCTCAAGCTTGGCCATGATTTCATCAACATTGTCTTCCTCCACATCCTCCTTCGCCTTTGCAATAATTTTCTTGAGTCCGCTGACAAAGCCCGCAGTTGTAAAGTCCTCATCGTGGTCATCGTGAAGAGTCCTCTTGCATAGACGGCACATATTGTGTTTTTCGGCGTATTGCAGGCATTTGCTCATGTACTCCATCTGTGCTTCGAACTTGGCTTTGTCTGTAGATTTTAGCTCGTAATCATACTCCAGGTCTTGCAGAGTCTCGTCAAAATCGGAGATGTCGTCCTTCTGTATGGATGCTTTCACGGTCTTTTCGTACTTTTGGAGGTCGGCACGATTCTGCTTCAATTGCGACTCCAAGCTTGACATCTCGTAGTTGACTTTGCCCAACTTGGTCAGCGCAATCTCGCGGCGAGACCCAGCCTCCTTGACCTTGCCTGCCTTCTCTGCCAGCACCTGCTGGAAAGTCGTCTCTAAAGTGGCGGGGTCCCAGTCAGAGTCCACCAGCTGTGAAAGGCGCTCATTGTGAACCTTCTTCATGGTCGCTAAGCTGTGCTGCTGGGTTTGTAGCTCCTCTCGCTTGACGTCGATAGCTGCAGACTCCCGAGCCTGCTTTGAAGCATCACCAAACTCATTCGTCAAGCGCTCCTTCTGGTCTTCGAGTGTTCGTACGTTGTTGGACGCTTCGGATATGCGTTCGTCGTAGCGTTCTGAGTTCACCGCGGTGATTGCGTTTTGAAGCTGCTTTTCGACATCTCGCTTCTTGTCTTGAAGTATGGCTTCGCTGCCCTCATCTGCCTTGATGTTGTTCATGGTCCTCTGGAGATCGGAGATGCGCTTGTCGTTGTTCGTGATGTGACTCCGGGCGGAGTCCTTGCTCTGGCTAAGTCCCGATTTGCGTGTTTTTAGCTGATTGAGATTATCCTGGGCTTCACGTAGGTCGCGTTGTGTCTCCTCCCGAGTTCGACCCAGAACCTTGTTCTGATCGCGAGACATCTTGTTTAGGATCTGCTGGAACTCCTCCACCTGCTTCTCGGTGATGTCGTAATCAAACCCACGCACAGCATGTCGCTTAGCGGCTTCCTTGATAGAGTTCTCGCGATGTTGGACCTGACGCTCATACTGCTCCTTTTGCGCCTCGTACTTGCCGATCTCGCTTTGCTTCGTTCCAAGAGCGTCTCTGTTGTCTTCGAGGTTGTTCTTGAGCTCAAGATATTGATTCCGGAATTCTTTGGCCTGAGTTGAGTATGTCGCGACGCGCTCTTCGTACTGATCTAGCATGTCTTGGAGTTCCTCGTCCGATTCAGCCAGCTCCTTGATGCTGTCTTGGAGCTCTGCAACATTTTCCCTGTTGATGTCTAGCGTCTGGCGCTTGGACTTCAGCTGTTCCACGATCTGTACGAAGCGCGCTTGGTGGTTGTAGGCGTCTTCATACTCCTGCTTCGCCTCAGTCCATTTCTTGTCGACGCCGTTGTAGTCCTCTCGCAGCGTCTCGATCTCGTCAAACAGTTTAGCTTGCCGCCTCTCGCTGTCCGCTGCGCGCGTCTTGTCCTCTTTGGCGTTGGCCTCGATGATCTTGAGCTGGCCCAGTTCGACGTTTCGGTCCTTCCGGATCTTCTTGATGTTATCGATGGCTTTGGTGTATTTCAAAGCTTCGAAGATCTCATCAAACTTCTTTTTGAGGGTAGTCGCATCGCTCAGGGGCCACAGACTATCCTCTTGATGGCAGAAGATGACGTTTTCCAAGATGGCTTTGGATACACCGAGATACTGAGGGATGATCTGATCAAGCTCGGCGACACGGGTTGAGATGGAATGCTTTTCGCCGTCTTTGATCATGAGCAATGAGCCTTCTAGGGTCTTCTGGCTCCTCGTAGTCTTCTTGACGGTGATTTGCATGCTACGGGTGGCGACCATGCGGACACCAGAAGTAGAGCGGAAAGACAGCTTGACCTGCGCCACACCATCCTTCTCATTTCGGAGCGATGGGTCGTGGATGAAAGCGCCTCCAGTCTTGCTGCTTGACGGAAGCTCGCCGGTAGTCGCATACTTGAGAGACTCGATAATGGTTGTCTTTCCAGAGCCGTTCCAGCCGACGATAAGTGTGAGGGGTGCAGTGAACTGAATGACCTCTCCTTTTTCTGGACCGAAAGAGCGAACGCCCTGGATCATTAGGCGATCGACTTTCGACATGATGGCGGTTCGCGCTGCCGGCGCTGCCTCTTTTCCTGGTGTCTGTGAGGCTGCGCTTCTGGTGATGGGGGATCAGCTATCCGTGGTCGTACAATTGAGCGGGCGGATGTTAGAATTGCACCCCGCAGCTGGGTTGATATAGTAGCGTGTTGTTTGCTGCCTGTCAAACAGGCGCGGTAGCCTGGACGCGTTGACTAGCGGCGCGGTATCACGTGCAGAAGAGGGCCGTGCGGGTTGGGCTCACAAGCGCAACACTGTTGTCGTCATGCTAAAGTGCGGATGGGCATGCACAAAACATAGAAATCCCATCACGTCCTCGGGGAAGCTGCCCGCGCCTATCACCCGCGGCTTTATTGCACGACATCATATGCAGCATCGTGCATTTGAGACGCCATGGCGCAATATCAAAATGGCGGTGCTGAGGTACGCTGACTGGCCCTGCATCCTTAGTAAATCTGAACACCTGTCTCATGACTGTAGATGATGGCCGGAATGCCTATGCACCCCCAGACGCAGGAGTTTAACGGGCTGCCCATGGACGATGGCATGCAGTCGATGGATCTGGATATGGGGTCGCTGGACGGAGCCGAGGGCGGCCAGAACGGCGGATTCTCCTTTGCGGATCCACAGATGCAGGCCGCGAGTCTACCAGCCAGCAGCACCATGGGCGACATGCAGATGACAGGCGCAGGCGCTGGGCCTCTACCGACGGGCTTCGGCGCCCCCAACATGAACCCCTCGGGCAGCACCCTGACCGAGTTCACCAAGCGGCGGAACTGGTCGCAGCGCGTGCTGGAAGAGCTGCGCGACCTGCTGCACATACTGACTCCCGACGGCAGGGTCCTCTATGTCTCCCCCTCATGCAAGGCGCTCACGGGCTGGGACCCTACGCATGTCATGGGCCGCTTCATCAACGAGTTCATCCACCCCGACGACATTGGCATCTTCGTGAAAGAGTTCAATGAGTCGATCGCGTCCGGCAACCCGCTCCGCTTCTTCTACCGCTTCCGCAAAACCGACGACACATGGATCATCTTCGAGTCGCACGGCCACCCGCATCTCAGCAGCGACCAGAACTCGTTTGCGCCGCCGAACACCATCAACTGCCGCGGCTTCTTCATGATGGCGCGCCCCTACCCGACCAAGAACGCCGCCCTCCTCGACTCCTTCCTCGAACACAAGATAGAGAACGAGCGCCTCATGAAGCGCATAGCCGAGCTCAAGCGGGAGGAGCAGGACGAGCAGGACGACTGGGCAAAGAAGACGGAAGGCGCCACCACCTCGGTGACTCCTTCCGAATCGCATGTCACGCAGAACATGAGCCAGGCCGATGCCGCGTCCTATGCGCAAATGCCGCCGCCAGCCAAGCCAGTCATCTCCAACACCGCCCTCACCCGCCAGAACCTCGACGAGGCCCTCGCCGCAAGCAAGCCCGATAGTATCAACGACAAGATGATGCGGTATGAGGGCGCAAATCATCTAGAAACAATCGAGATGTTGACCGGCCTCCGGTACAGGGACGGCGAGCGCTCACAGGGTATAAGTACCGGTGACGCCAGCCCGAACCTCATCCGTGGCGATGCAGGCATACAAATATCGCTAGACCGCGATGGCCGAAATTCTTCTGACAAGAAGAAGAAGCTCAAAATCGCCGACGAATACGTTTGCACAGACTGCGGCACATTGGATTCGCCCGAATGGCGGAAGGGTCCAAATGGGCCGAAGACACTGTGCAATGCATGCGGATGTAAGTCGTCAACTCCAGAAGCAAGGAGGTATAACATGCTAACTGCGACAGTGCGCTGGGCAAAGAAAGAAAAGAAAAAACAACAAGGTCCTACCAGTATGCCAAGTGGAAGTGGCATGATGCATACACCATCCATGCCAATGCACAGCAGTACGGGCTCTAGCTAAAACCAGCATGTTGCTGTTGTCGGTTGCCATCCTTGCGACTTTTACACGGCGTTTCTTATGAGTCTCTCTTCTCTATTCTTTCTGGATTTCAAGGTGTCAGGCATATCAACGGCGTTGCATTTGTGGCTGATCATGGGCCTTTGGTTGGTTTTCCTTACGATCGGCATATGATTCCCAGGGCCATAGATAGATTCGGGCTGAGCAACGATACCACTTCTCTGTAACGGCGATTGCAGATTGCAACTACCAGAGATGCATATCTGATCGCTCCACGATCGATTTGCATCACGAGGCTGGATTGATAATGGTACCAGAATTTCCCGAGCACAAGCTCCTCATTATCTTCTGCACGAAGCCCTCAAATTCAAGGCGTTTCGCCTTAACAGCGCTCCTCATCCACGATCCACACATGACAGAGTTGTTGTGTAACATCTGGGATCATTCTTGCGCCACTAACTTTTCAATCAATTTAGCGGATACAACGAGCGATGCTGCCTTCTCGACAGTCGAGTCATCAACGTCCACGAAGAGCCCTGAAGCGAGAGTCTCTGAAGATTCACCGCTAACGTCAGATTCGAATACGATGATCTGAAAGTTACACCGCAGAAGATGGGCGACCAGCATATTCTGGGAGGGACGTGGATCATCTATTTTCGCGCCAAGTTACCCACACGTCAGGCATTTAGCACTGATGGAACTCTCCGAAGGATCTACTACGACGTGCTGCGGCTCAGCGGTCGTTGTTCCTCTGATTCGTTCGTACAGACTGTTCGTTTAAACATGCCTCAGAATGTACGAGTCAGCCAATCAGACCACAAAGCGCGGGCGCTAGAAGCAGCAAAGTTGGTGTGAGGCGCAGCCCCGTGAACAGCCCTACCCCATCTTTCGACTACCAGGTACGTCTTCAAGATAGGCGAGCTGCTGTCTACAGCGTCTGTCCTGCAGTACTGGCATGGGTTAAATGTCTATGACTATGATCGAGACGACTTCAACGTCTTTCAGCTAGGCTGTCAAATGGATAGCAACTCCCATGAGGCGTTCTGTGGGAACAACACAATCTCCACAGGGCGTAACGACGCGTTGAATGTTGCGCAGATCCATGCTGGAGTCGTCAGTCCAGATAAAAGAAGCATCAAAGCTATGAAGTAGGCGGTGCATGTGCTAGTGCTATTGCCTTCCTGGGAGGCCTCATCTTTCCGTATAAGAAAGGGCAGTACTAACCTTCCAAGATGCACCACTCCATCTCTATGCTCACGAAGAGCTCTCCTTTACAACAAGACTATCATCTCTTCACGGATCCTGTTATATACTAGCCATGTCAAAAATGCTACTTCCGGTAGCCGCAGTGTTCTCCCTGCTAGCCCCCACCGCGCTCTCCCTGTGCCCACCACCAGGTGCAATTCTCCCACCACCATCACTCGCTGTCCATACCTCCAACTTCAGCATACCGGATGCGGTATTCCAAAACTTCAGTTTCATAAAAAACACTTCGTTCGCGATCCAGGCTTCTGTCGGTAACAACACGGTCTTCCAATATGAGCATACAGCCCCTGGCCGTGAAGTCAATCAGTCGCTCTTCGACACCAAGCTCCGCATAGCTAGCGCAACCAAGCTGATCACGGCACTTGCTCTGGAGTTGAGTAAAGACAAGATCGGCTTGGATGATCCGATTACAAAGTTCATTCCTGGTCTGAACGAAGAATACTACGCAGATGTAACGATCAAGTCCTTGACTGATCACACTTCCGGTCTCGGTCGCTTCGTACGTCCTCCAATCCTTCAGTCCCCCACCCACACACTGAACTAAAACACCACCCCAGGGTTACACAACAGACATAGCATTCGGCCAAAACGCAACCGCTCTCGGCCTCCTACTACTCAACAACACCCTCCCAGGCTGCGACCCCATCCCCGGCGGCCGAATGTGCACGCCCCAAGAGATCCTCGACGAGTTCAACAACCCAGTCTACGCCCCACACTCCCCTTCCTCCCGCGCCATGTACAGCAACATCGGGTACATCCTCCTCGGCAAAGCCCTCTCAGCAGCCCACAACACCACCTACGAAGACGTGATCCAAAAGCTCATCCTCGACCCCGTCGGCATGGCAAACTCCTCCTTCTCCGTCCCCTCAGATGACGGAACCGCCGTCCTGCCCCGCCGCCCTGAAGATGCCTCATGGTTCGTAGCCCCCTTCGGCAATCTGAACCCAACAGGCGGTTTGTGGTCCACACCCAACGACCTGCTCACCCTGCTTCACGCACTCAAGAACGGGGAGCTACTCAGCAAAGTAGCATTGAGGAAGTGGATGCAGCCCACCACCTTCCTCCGGTCTCTCCACCAATACGTCGGTGCAGCATGGGAAATCTTCCGCATCGACGACCTTCCGCTCGAGTTTCCGCGCGCGATCGATGTGTATACAAAATCGGGTGGTGTACCGGGGTATGGGAGCTATCTTGTGTTGATCCCGGAATACGATATCAGCATTACGATTAATGCGGCAGGGGGCGAGACAAGTTATTCGAGTATTGAGCTACTGGACACGGTTGTGAGTGCGTTGGTCCCGTGGGCAGATGAGCTAGCACGTCAGCAGGCGGAGGCGAAGTACGCTGGGAGGTATGTGCTTGAGACGGCGTCTTCGAACGACACGCTCGTTTTGTCTTCGACGGCGGGTCCGGGTTTGGCTGTCGAGGCGCTGAGCGTCAATGGCGTTGATATCATTGCTGCTTTGGCTATGAAGCAACAAGTCCCACTGGACAACTTTAGCGCGAGGCTGTACCCAACTGATCTAGATTCTCTGGGTACGCAGAGCGAGAACTGGAGGATGCTGCCTGATCAAATCAGCCCGGCGAAGAAGCTGTGGGCGGGGCTGGAGTGTATGAGTTGGAATAATGGGGATTGGGCGAGGTATATGGGGGAGCCGCTTGATACGTTTGTGTTTCATGTGGATGCCGAGAGTGGAAAGGTTGGGAGTGTGGAGTTGCTTGGTTGGAGGGTGAATTTGGTGAAGGTGGATTGAGGTGCTTGGCTATAGAGTTTTGGATTGTAGCCCGTGAACTGAGGGTTCGATATAATCCGAGATGTCTGTACACATTCATGTTCATCCGAAATGAATTGAAATGTGTTTCTTCGATACCTAATATATGCAACTGTAGAAACACCAGCTACCAGCCTTCTCCCGCGTCCCGACCACGACGAAACACCAACAACGAAAGTACTACCGCAAGATGCTAGTAGCAAAGGGGGTATCGAATATACAAAGCACGAACGAAAAGCCCTGCCACCTCCACTCGCTCAACATGACCAGTTCCATCCTCCCCTAACAACACCCAGGTACTTCAGACAACAGTAAAAGTCCTCTGTGGATAATTATCCAACTGCGTCATATCCTGAATCTCAGGGAACCAGTGTTCAAACAGCGCCTCCGCATCCTCACTCATCTCCTGTTCCGTCCCCTCAGGCGTACACTCATAGCATTCCAGTCTGCCGACACGACGATACGTGTTATTCCCCGCTGAAGACGAAGACTTGAGCACAATACCTACTATGGAAGAACGGAATGTCATGCTGACGAGGACGCAAACGAGGGTTTCGCCGTCTTGCAGCGCGTCTTCGCCGCGGGGAGGGACGACGTCGGGGGTAAAGTCAACGGTCATACCGTTTTTAGCCAAGGTATACGAGGGTGGTGCGTCTGGCGATGCAGATGAAGAAGGCGGAGAAGAGTGAAACACGACTTCTGCGGCCATGGCACCTGAGAGTTCGAGGGGCTCGCCCATGATGGGTGACCACGCACTCGCACGCTTGCCTTTTGGACCGAAGGAAGCGCGACAAGCGAGATCCATGGCGCTTGTGTTGTCGAAGAAGATGGGGGAGCCTTCGACGGAGGCCCACGACCAACTTGGCACGTTTTGTCCTTGGGCTAGTTTCGGGCGCCGGCAGCGTGAGCTGTCGTTGGGATACCAGAGGAGGCCGAGGGTGCTGAAGGTCCATTGGCCGGCTATGTAGCCTGATTGGAGGGTTGGAGAGAGGGCTTTGGCGATGCTTGCTATTGCTATTAGGCGGTCGCTGTCGTAGGTGAGGTGGCGTGCGGTGTATTCGGTTATGATGTAGGACCAGAGTTGGAGTGTCTCTTCGCGTCTGCGTAACAGCTCTTGTTGGGCGCCATTCGTGAGATTCGTAGAGGCCAGTTGGTTTGTCATGCTGTCCATCCGAGTGTGGCCCATATTTCCGTTGGTGTTGGCTTGTTGTGGTCTGTTTGCTGTTTCGTAGAGGACTCTGCCAAACTCTTGCTTGACCTGGTCGCATGGCCGCGTGTCATATGTATTGTCGTCGATACGCCCGCATTCGCATTGGTAGCCTTCTCGGCATTCTAGAATCATCTCGCTCTTGGTGAAGTGCAGCACTCTCGGCGAAAGTAGGCGTTCGGCGTACGGCCATGCGCGAATCAAGAGGGGCGTGTGTAGATTTGCTTCTTCGGTCATGTTGAAGGGTAGCTCCCACTCGTTCATGTGAGCATTTCCGTCAAAAGGCGCCTTGAAACTGTAATGAGTCGGCTGCTCCCGCACGTTGATCTTATGTAGCGAGCCTTTGTTGTCCGTTGCTTGGATCTTGAATGGCTGTGTTTTGGGAGGAAAGAGGGGTTGGGTACTGCTGTCGGATGCGGAGGTCGCCGCAATCGTCAGGAAGGCGTTGCCGAAGATCTCATCCATCTTGAGCGAGTCTTCCAGCTTCTCCTGGACGTCATCTTGTATCAGGCACAGACTATCGATAAACAGCCAGCGGAAACCAAGCGCTCGGGTGAGGAAGACGGCCTCTTGGTATGCTCTTGGCAATGTTGACCATGGAATGCTCTTCTTGTGTGATTGCAGGTTTGCCAAAGTCGTCTTCGGGATACCTTTGGCCAGTCCCCAGACATGGCTCAGGGCGATGTATTCGCCGTGTTCGTATCTCCTCTCGTCTTGGATGTACTCACTTTCGTGCAAGCGCATACTCTTGGAGTCGT